ACTCTTTTTGGCAAAGCAGCAATGGGCCCCCATCGATGTGCCAGAATTTAAAAGATTCTGGGCATTGACTATGCTGATGGGCATCATAAAGAAGTCCTCCATCCGCTCCTACTGGAGCAGTAGCCCCATCTGCTCTACCCCCATTTACTCCCAATGTATGTCGAGGAAGAGGTATGAAATGATTCTGCATTTCATGCACTTCAGTGACAACAGCCTGTGTCCCCCTAGGGAGCATCCCCAGTTTGACAGGCTGTATAAAATCCGCCCCCTGATTACCCACTTCGCTGCCAGGTTTGCAGAAGCTTATACACCTGGAAGAAATACATGCATGGATTTTGTACCGTGATGCACCTGCTCCCCGGGAGGTGATGGGAGAGAGCAGAGTTGGGGCTACACATTTTATTTTTAAAATTCCCCCTACTGTGGCAAAGCAAAATCCCCCAAAAAGATGCAGGGTCTGTTCTAAGAGGGGGCAGAGAAAAGATAGTGTTATATCACTGTCCTGAATGCCCTGGACAGCCTGGACTCTGCATTGGAGACTGCTTCAAACGATACCACACGCTGGTCCATTTTTTATTTATTTTTTAACATTTGCCGTTCAGTTATTTTTGGTGTCTTTTTTTGGGGGGGTTTTGTTACATATACCCCGTATATGGGGGGCATAGGTGTCCTTAGGAGGCTTTGCAGAAAACAACCCGGGGTGTTTTCTTGCAATAACCAAAAACGGGTTCTCCTAAATCACAGTCAAAAAGCAGTATGCGTGTGTAAAAATGAGGATTGAACAGTTACCTCCACACATGTTCAACTTTTTTTTATTTTTTGTCTGGCTAAAAAAAAGTTGCATCAAAGCACTCCACATTCACGTATGTATCCTTTCGTGGCGATATATAAAACTGGGGTATGTGATAAGCGCCAAGCTAAAGATAGGCCTCTCAGAAGAAATACTCTCAATTTCAACTCAAATTGCAAGTCATACAATTGTAACCGTACCTTCCCAAACTCCTGGCAAACCTATGCATGGGGGGCATGGATTTCCTAAGGAGGCCTTGCAGAAAACAACCTGGGGTGTTTTCTTGCAATAACCAACAACGGGCTCTCCTAAATCACAGTCAAAAAGCAGTGTATGTGTGTAAAAATGAGGATTGAACTGTTAGCTCCACACACGTTCAACTTTTTTTGAATAAAATGATTGCATCTAAGGCATCAATACACTCCATATATAATACTGCGGGGTGTCAGCTTTTCAAATATATGCACGCTCATGGCAAGAAAATACATTGGGATATCTGATAAGGCCCCCAAAAGAAAGATAGGCAAACAAGATATGTAAAATTTGAAAAAAGCATATCAGACATTTTGCTTTGCACCCCCCAATGAACCCGACACACGTATGCATGGGTGGTATCACTGTACTCAGGAGATGTTGCTGAGCACATATTGGGGTGTCCTTTGGCAGTAACACCTAACAGGAGCTTAGAATCTATGCCCAAAGTAGAATGTGTGAGTGAAAAATAACACCACAAAAACGTTTGACAGAGACTGGTGGTAGAATTAGTGCATGTAAAGTGTTGAAATGCCACCATGTGAAATGCCCTAGGGTGTGTATTTTTCAAAAACATATGGTTTGACGGGGTGAATTACATTGGCTGGCTTCAGAAATGTTTCAACTGGGACATGGGTGAATGATGGCCAGCTGTGTTTTTATTTTTCAATTTTTCATCATATTTTACTTTTTTTATAGTAAATTATATGATATGATGAAAATAATGGTATCTTTAGAATGAACATTCAATAGCGAGAAAAATGGTATATAATATGTATAACACAACCACTGCAGAAATGTAAAAAGAGCCCTGGTCCTTAATGGTAATAAAATTGAAAAATGGCCTGGTGACTAAGGGGTTACATACCTCTAGTAGCTGTTACCCTAATAGCCACTGGAGACACTACTGCAGGAATACCTGACCATGTGAGACCATGTGATTGGTGTAGCATTTTTTGTTTCCTATTGAGAAAGCATTGGATTGGCTAAGATCATCGATAAGGTGGAAGTGATATGCATGCACCTCATATAGTGTCAGTTACAGTCCCCTGTATGGTGAGAGTTGCAGATCACAGGAGCATGTATGCGTGGTTTTCTAGGACACCGCTTATTGTTAATGAAGTTACGGTAAGGTGTTACAAGACTGAAACTACTGCTTCAGTCTAAGCGTGACTGACAGTGATGTTAGTTGCAGTCCTCTGTATCTAGAGCACAGCTTAACATTTCAAGCCATGTGCTTCCATCTAGACCAGGGCTGTCCAACCTGCGGCCCCCCAGATGTTGCTGAACTACAACTCCCATGATCCTATCTGTTTCAATGAAAGAATCATGGAAGTTGTAGTTCGGCAACATCTGGGGGGCCGATGTTGGACAGGCCTGATCTAGACCTTAACACAAGGCTGGGCAAATGGTAGAACTACAACAACCATGATGCTTTGTACCTCATTTTTACACTAACAATACTGCAGATTTCACCTACCAGCTTTCATTGGTGGAGCGAATGAGGGTGAGATTAACCTAGGCCTGTTGGTGGTAGAGTTCCATACCCATGCACTGCAGTAGCTGCCTAATTTATTTTTGATATCTGCTGCTGCCATAAAATATTGGGTGCCATACTCATATTGGCCAGGAAGGCACAGGTATTTTTCCTGTCCTGTAAATGCATCATGAAAAAAAAAAAAAAAAGTCTATAAAATTAAAGGAACACAAACATGTATTCCTTACCCTATAGTGTTAACACCACCATATAGCACCCCTGGGCCCCTCATGCCTCCATAAATATAGTAAAAATCTTACTGTATTCAAGCCAAAAGCTGTAACTCTGCATGCTGTTTGCCAAAAAAAAAAAATAAAGTCTGCTGACATCATCAGAGGTGGTAGCCTGATCCAATCACAATGCTTCCCCACAGGATTGGCTGAGACTGACAAGGAGGCAGATCAGGGGCAGAGCCAGCATGATTCAAACACAGCCCTGGCCAATCAGCATCTCCTCATAGAGATGAATTGAATCAATGAATCTCTATGAGGAAAGTTCAGTGTCTGCATGCAGAGGGAGGAGATACTGAATCACAGGATGCTGTGCACAGTGCTGCCCTGTGCTCTGCTGACAGCAAATCTGAGTGGATGGAGGCATATTATGTTCCTCTGGTTCACTGAGTAAATCTCAGAAAATACAGTGTTTACATGAGAAAGGCTGCAGGGAGCTATAGTTCTCACCTGAACAATCTCATTAACCCCTTCAGGACGAGTGACGGACGAGGTCCGTCACAGAGGGGAGACCCTTAATGACGAGTGACGGACCTTGTCCGTCACGCAGTAAAATTAACCCCGGATCACCGCTATCGCGGCGATCGCGGGGTTAATGGTGCTCCGGTATGCCTCTGTATTAGAGGCAGACCGGGAGCACCCGATCTCGCTGCCCAGCACATGTGCTCGCTCTGACCACATGTCAGAGCGAGCGCATGTGCTCAGTATACTTACCTTCCACCTCCCTGCACTTCCTGGTTCTGTGTGAAGTGCAGGGAGCCGGAACAGTGATGATCCTGCCCGCTGCTGGAAAAAAAATAAAGTTAGTTTAAAGTTCCACCCCCCTTTACCCATTGTAATAAAAAAATTAACCCCTTCCCTGCCAATTGATCACTGACTACAGTGATCAATTGGCAGGGATTACATTTTACTATGATCTGATTTTTTTTTTTAACCCCTGAGGGTTAATTCTTTTTTTTTTTAACCCTCAGGGGTTAAATGTATTTAATTAATTAATTTAAATATTTTAAAATTATATATTTAGCTAGCTGGGGTGGGTGGAAGCTAGTGGGGAATTGGGGGATTTGGCGTTAGGCTAACTAGGGGTTAACGTTAAAGTTAAGCTTAAAATTAAGCTTAAAAAACACGTTTAAGTAAAAAATAAAAAAAAACAACCCCTTTACCCAGTCCAAATAAAAATTAACCCCTTCCCTGCCAGTCGATCACTGCCTACAGTGATCAAATACAGATCACAGTATTATACTGTGATCTAAGTTTTTTTAACCCCTGAGGAGTAACTTTTATTTATTTTTTTAATCCTCAGGGGTTCAATTTATTTAATTAATTAATTTAAATATTTTATAACTATATATTTTGCTAGCTGGGGTGGGTGGGAGTTATGGGAAAGTGGTAAATTTACTGTTAGTGCTGCTTACTGCTAGTTAGGCGTTAATCAGGGCCGGACTGGCCCACCGGGATACCGGGAAATTTCCCGGTGGGCCGCGGCACCTGGGGCCGGTCTGACCGCTCCTGTGATCCCGGCGGCCGTGTGTGAGCTATGCGGCCGCACATAACCCCATGGGAGCAGGGGGAGCCAGGCGGCCGGCTCACACATGGCCGCCCGGGATCATTTAAAAAAAAAAAAAAAAAAAATTTGCGGCGGGGGCGGAGCTTACTGTGCGGCGGGGGCGGGGCTTAGCGTGCGGCGGAGGCGGAGCTTACTGTGCGGCGGGGGCGGCTAATTGCCGCATGGGAAGCAGGAAGGAGTCCCTGCTTCCCCAACAACCAGCCTCCAGGAACAACAAACAGGAGGGAAGAAGGAGGTCAGTGTGAGTGTGTGACTGTGTGTGTGTGTGTGACTGTCTGTGTGTGTGTGTGTGTGTGTGACTGACTGACTGTGTGTGACTGTGACTGTGTGTGACTCTGTGTGTGTGTGTGACTGTCTGTGTGTGTGTGTGTGTGTGACTGTCTGTGTGTGCGTGTGTGACTGTGTGTGTGTGACTGTGACTGTCTGTGAGTGTGTGACTGTGTGTGTAACTGTGACTGTGTGTGTGTGACTGTTAGTGTGTGTTTGTGTGTGACTGTCTGTGTGTGCGTGTGACTGCCTTTGTGTGTGACTGCCTGTGTGTGACTGTGACCGTCTGTGTGTGTGACTGTGTGTGTGACTGTGTGTGTGTGACTGTGACAGTCTGTGTGTGTGACTGACTGTCTGTGAGTGTGTGACTGTGTGTGTAACTGACTGTGTGTGTGTGACTGTTAGTGTGTGTTTGTGTGTGACTGTCTGTGTGTGCGTGTGACTGCCTTTGTGTGTGACTGCCTGTGTGTGTCTGTCTGCCTGTGTATGTTACTGTCTGTGTGTGACTGTGTGTGTGTGTGACTGTCTGTGTGTGTCTGTCTGTCTGTGTGTGTGACTGTGTGTGTGTGGCTGTCTGCCTGTGTGTGTGTGTGACTGTCTGCCTGTGTGTGTGTGTAGGTGTCTGCCTGTATGTGTGGATGTTTGCCTCGGTGTCAGTGACTGTCTGCCTCTGTGTGTGTGCGCACCTGCTAGTGAGGGAGCCTCTGTGTGTGTGTGCCTGCTAGTGAGTTTGTGTGTGTGTGCCTGCTAGTGAGTGAGCTTGTATGTGTGTCAGTGAGCTTGTCTGTAGGGATCATATGTGTGTGTGTTAGTGAGCTCTTGTCTGTAAGGAGTATGGGTGTGATCGTGGGCTTGTCTGTAGTGAGCGTGTGTGTCAGTTAGCTTGTCTGTAGTGAGCGTGTGTGTCAGTGAGCGTGTGTGTCAGTGAGCGTGTGTGTCAGTGAGCTTGTCTGTAGTGACCATATGTATCAGTGAGCTTGTCTGTAGTGACCATATGTATCAGTGAGCTTGTCTGTAGTGACCATATGTGTCAGTGAGCTTGTCTGTAGTGAGCGTGTGTGTCAGTGAGCTTGTCTGTAGTGAGCATGTGTGTGTCAGTGAGCTTGTCTGTAGTGAATCTGTGTTAGTGAGCTCTTCTGTAGGGAGCATGTGTGTGTCAATGGGCTTGTCTGTAGGGAGAGTGTGTGCGCATCAGTGAGCTTGTCTGTAGTGAGCGTGTGTGTGTGACAGTGAGCTTGTCTGTAGTAAGCTTGTGTGTGTATCAGAGTTTGTCTGTCCTAAATTTGTGTGTCTGCCAGTAACCTTGTCTGTGTGTGTCATTGAGATTGTCTGTCAATGAGCCTATTTGTGTGCATCAGTAAAATTATCTGTGTCTGTGTGTGAGTATGCTTTACTGTATAATTTAATTACCCTGAAAGGACTAATATTGTGAATTAGAAGAAGAAATGTATCAATAATATATATATATATATATATATATATACATACATTAAAGGACCACTTTAGGCACCCAGACCACTTCAGCTTAATGAAGTGGTCTGGGTGCCTGGTCCAGCTAGGGTTAACCCATTTTTTCATAAACATAGCAGTTTCAGAGCGCTATGTTTATGAATGGGTTAAGCCTTCCTCTATTTCCTCTAGTGGCTGTCTCATTGACAGCCGCTAGAGGCGCTTGCGTGCTTCTCACTGTGATTTTCACAGTGAGAGCACGCCAGCGTCCATAGGAAAGCATTGTAAATGCTTTCCTATGTGACCGGCTGAATGCGTGCGCAGCTCTTGCCGCGCGTGCGCATTCAACCCAGGAGGAGGAATGGAGGAGGAGAGAAGGAGGAAAGCTCCCCGCCCAGCGCTGGAAAAAGGTAAGTTTTTACCCCTTTCACCCTTCCAGAGCCGGGCGGGAGGGGTACCCTGAGGGTGGGGGCACCCTCAGGGCACTATAGTGGTCCTTTAATATATAACACCCTACATAGCACAATGACTTATGGGGCTGGCATAGATTTTTTTCCAGGGCTGCTTCGTATCCCCAGTCCGGCCCTGATGGTAGGCCTTTGTGGATTTTTTTGGAACAGTTAAACTGGTATAATACCCCAAATGGAAGCATAGGCTCATTAAAACCGTCTCTCAAAATTCTACTGTGAATACTGAAAAGGACAGGTCTCCTATATGGCACTGTAGCTTCACAAAATAGTGACAAAGACATACAGTGGGGGTGTCATTTTACTCAGAAGGCTTAGCTGAGCATAATTTGGGGGGTTTTAACTTACTGGCACATGTGAAATATGCAAAATGCCCAGTAAAAATGCAATCCATGTGTAAAAAAACGCACAACATTATTTTTTACAATGGGGGTGTCATTTTACTCAGCAAATGTAACTGAACACAAAATAAAAAACTTTGTACAGGAATAGCACACACCAACTTTACAAAATACACATGAGAACCAAAAAAAACCACAATTTTACTCCAATATTTAGCAGAGGTTGGCGGTGAAATTGCTACGTAGAAAGTGTCAAAACAATCCTAGGTAAATAGCCTGTAATGTCTACTATATATAAATATATACTTTTGTGTGGCAATTTTGTTTTTTTTTATGGCTATTAAGCTTACAAGACAAACATACCAAATTCTAAAATCGCTCCACTTACTCCTTGTGCTTTGTGACCTGTAATTACCAAAAAAAACTTAAAATCCCAGACACATTATATGTTCTGTAAATCAGAACAACTAAATGAATTTTTTTTAATTACTTTCCTTAACCTGCACTAATTATGCACACATTATTATTGCAAAAACTGTAAAGAAAACACACAAATTTAAATTTTTCTTTGCATTTTTCTGTATTTTTTTATAATAAATAGGCATTTATATATATATGTGTTACATCAAATTAAAGCCCTTTCTGTCCTTTAAAAAACGATATATAATATGTGTCGGTGCAATAAATTAGTAAAATGCAAATTGCAGTTGAACGCAAACAGCAGAAAATGAAAAAAATGCTGTTGTCATTAAGTGAAAGACAAGATTCTGAAGCTCTGTCCTTAAGGGGTTAAATATAGTGAAAGTATTGTTACATTCGCTTCATTTACATCAATGTGATTTCATGGTAACTCAAAGTGTATCGAAAAATCATATAAAAATAAAGCAATGAAAATAAACATAGCATGTTTAATGACAAATATCTACCTCCGTAAATTACTCTACATTACATCAGTAAACAAAGAACCAAAATAAGACTTTACCTGAAATGCAAAAACAAGATCCCACACAGAATAATCATCACATCTAGCTATCAAAAACCCAAAAGAATCTTTGAGACACCTCAAGGATATTTTAACTCAATTTGGTGAGATATCGTACTACAAATTAAATGAGTCCAAAACTCAAGCCCTCCCATTTCATTTAAACAATTTGGAAACCATTGCCCTTAACAAATCATATTTATTTGATTGGAGAACTGAATATATGGAATATCTTGGTATTAATTTATGCAAAAATTTGGTCAATATGCATAATCACAACTTGAGGAAAGCATGGTCAGACCTACAAAAAGAGATGGAGAGATGGGGTGGGATGGAACTCTCATGGCTGGGGAGGGTCGCATCTATTAAAATGACGATACTCCCCCAAATTTTTTTAGGACCATTCCTCTGTCCATTCCATTATCATTTTTTAATAAAGTTCACTCGACAATGTTGAAATGTATCTGGGGGAACAAGCCTGCCCGAGTGAGGCTCACTTCCCTGCAGCACCATAAATCGAATGGCGGTATCGGTGTCCCTGATATCCGCAAATATTATTTCGCCACTAACGCTGCAGTGGTTGTGAGCTTTAACAATCAGGATGATAAACCCAGATGGATGGAACTAGAGGAATCAAAAATTTCACCGGTTAGATTATCAGAATTATCTTGGTTAAATTTTAAGAAAAGACCTGGAATTACAAAATTATTTTTATCTACCAAGACTACACTTAAGGCCTGGGACATTGTTTTTAAAAATGACCAGTCTCCCAGTTTATATAGAGCAATGCCTATTGAGTTATTGAAAGATTATATACCATCCTTAAAAATAGAATTATTGAAGGATTGCTCTATAACTAATCTGGACAATTTTTTTATGGCAATGCTATTCTTTCTTTGGAAAAATTGAAGCTTAAGTATGGATTGTCAAATGTATGTGAACTGGAATGTATGCTAATCATTGATAAATTGAAAGAACTATACCAGGTACCTGAAACAGATAAAAACTATAAATCACTTGAGTTATCTCCTTTAGAGAAAGTTTTTTTATACAGCCCCACTAGTAAAGGTATGATATCCTTATTCTACTTATATCATAATGCCAAGCCCTTAATTAAATTAAAACATATGCTGTCATGGGAGACAGAGTTGGGTGCCCAGTACGATTTAGAAGAATGGTTCGATTTCTTTAAAGGTTTAAAAGGTATTTCGTATTGCACCGACCATTTTGAAAATCATTATAAAATCTTATATCGCTGGTACCTGGCTCCGTCTAGATTACATAACATGAACAATATGTATTCTGACCGGTGTTGGAGAGACTGTGGGGGAGTGGGCAATATGGCCCATATCTGGTGGTTCTGCCCCAAGTTAATTAATTATTGGAAAATGATCCATGATCTGATTATTAAGGTGAACGGAACCATTAGCATCTTAACCTCGGAACTAGCCTTATTTAAAAAACTCCCGGAGTCCGTTAATAGATCAGATAAAATAATCAAAGGCCACATTCTGATCGCTGCTACATCCTGTTTATCTAGACATTGGAAGTCCCAAAATGTGCCATCTCTCAGAGAAGTTTTTAATTTGATTTTAGAAAACAAGGCACATGAATTATCATACAGAGCCAATATGCATGGTTTCCCAAAACTAAAATATAATTGGGATAAATGGGAAGAAAAAATCAAAACAGTTTATGGTCTTTGATATATTTATTGTTAAAGTGCATTGATGTACAAAATTTTTTTTTGCCATATACTTTATTATGTTTATTTCATTGATGGATACTCCTTCCCATTTCCAAGTTACCCCTCCTTTTCTACCCCTAATACAATGTTTGTATTACCATCATTTGTTATACAAAAATTTTAAAAACTTTAATAAAAATTATTTGAAAAGAATAATCATCACATTTATGTAAACAATAGATCACATTAGAATCTCAAAAGGAGTAGTGCTGTAAGTTCCAGGGACATTCAATATTTGTCCCAATCATTTTCCAGGGATATTTATCAATTTAAAGTAAGGAAGTGAATTTACATGGATTGATAATTATTGCTTTTGACTGTGTAGCATACCTCCCAACATTTCAAATGGATGGAGTCGGTGAGTAGCCAGGGGCAAGCTGTTTTGAGAAATTGTAGGTGACTTATTGATTACAATGTATACAACGACAATGTAATTTAGAACAAAACAATGTTTCTTATTTATACAGAGTGATTTCTAAACACTTTTTTATGTTTAAAGACACATTACTATATGTATTATAGCTTTGGAGCTCTGTTATACACTAAGACACACCAACAGAAAGGAGTTCCTAGAAGAAAGGGAGATTACGATGTGATAGATGGATTTGGGCTCAAAATAGGGATAGTCCCTCTTGAACAGGGAAACGTGGATGGTATGATGT